GCTATAAACTTCTTCTTGGGTCATGCTAGATGGAAACAATAGCCTTCTGAGTGGATTCCGTAGCGATCCGCCACCCATGCATGCATGCATGCATGCAAGCAAGCACCATGCGCATGGTTTAACTTTACAGACCCAGGACGTCCGACGACGACCGCTGACGGGTTCCTGGTAGTCTCGCACCATCTCAACACGATGCTAAAGTCAAAAGTCCCGGACACCTAAGTGGAACGCAGCCAGAGGCCGAAGATGATTTTGGCCTCCGACTAAAAAGTTGCTTTGACGAACTCCTTGTGGTACGTCCTCGTATCTTCGGAACCGCTTGTCCTAGAGCGTCGGCAACCTCGGCGTTGGACTCCCCGTGTCCTGGGGACCTCAAAGACACCATCGGGGACCCCTAGGTCGCAAATCCTGGACACCTGGCCTAACCTCGGCGTCCAGGCCTTTAGTTCCAGACATTGTCTGGTTTTGAGTCAATTTTCCAAGCGCGGCGCGCTTTTTCCAGGCGCCAGTCTTTTCCGGATACATAATTCTCAGGCGCGGCCTGGAAATTGGCCGCTGGCCACAGTCTTCCCAGGCGCGGCCTGGAAATGCCTCGGAATGCCTGGGAATCATATGTCGGGAAAAGACCGCACAGTGGAGCGAAACGCCAAAAAATGCGACATCGTGGGACATAAAATCATTTTCCGATCTGTCAGCTTTTTTCACGGCATATGGTCATTTCATGATGTTATCTAGTAAAAGAAATGATTTCCTGGTATTGGCTAGGCTTGTAGAGCAAAAAATCGCGAAAAACATGAAAATTTTGTACTAAAATGTACCATTTTTTACACGTTTTTTGCCCGTAAAACTGACATTTTTTTCGATTCTGCAACTTTTCTCAACAGATTCTGAAAGCTAAGGACAAGGCCTACAACTTTTGTTTTGGTCGCAACGCTGTAGCGAGGTCGGCTCTTCGACTTTTTTGGCCTCAAAGGTTTTTCCTATAATAAATTGCACTGGAAAATTATTCTTATTTAGACAAATTTAGGTATTCTTGTGCCCCTGCAGTCCGCTTTACATCCCAACCAGTTTCAATTCATCCGATCGAGTTAATAAGAACCGGAAATAGATGTAGCGAGGCAACACAGACCTCAAGGGCACAAAAATACCTAAATTTGTCAAAATAGGAATAATTTTTCATTAAAATTTATTATAGGGAAAACCTTTGAGGCCAAAAAACTCGAAGAGCCGACCTCGCTACAGTGTTGCGACCATAACAAAAGTTGTAGGCCTTGTCCTTAGCTTTCAGAATCTGTTGAGAAAAGTTGCAGAATCGAAAAACTGACAGTTTTACGGGCAAAAAACGTGTAAAAAATGGCACATTTTGATACAAAATTTTCGTGTTTTTCGCGATTTTTTGCTCTATAAGCCTAGCCAATACCAGGAAATCATTTCTTTTACTAGATAACATCATGAAATGACCATATGCCGTGAAAAAAGCTGAGGGATCGGAAAATGATTCTATGTCGCACGATGTCGCATTTTTTGGCGTTTCGCTCCACTGTGGACCGGCGCCTGGAAAATGCGAATAGCGCCTGGGAATCCCAGGCGCCACTTTTGCCGTGTAGGTGTCACAGATGAAAACCCATACCACTTTATCAATGGGAGAAAAATTTACACAATGTGTGATCCACCCCATATGCTCAAAAGTTTGGCCACTGCTCTTCGCACCTACAATTTAGTCCTCCCAGATGGCTCCGTGGTAAAATTTGAATATATTGAGCAGACTGTAAGATGGGACATGCAAATTCACCCTAGAATACTGAAGAATATAACTGAAACTAATTTACATCCAAATACGTTTCAGAAGATGAATGTGCCCCTCCAAGCCCGTCTCTACAGTTCAAAAACAGCTGCAGCCATTATGACATACTTTTACATGCGCATTGCCACCTGAAGCCATGGCCACTGGAAAATTTGTTGAAAGGATCAATGATTTTTTTGATTCCTTTAATGGGGTTGACAAGGCGTTGGATGAAACCAAAACCTTAAAGTGTGCTTTCACCCCCACTTCACGCCACATGAAGGTGTGGGAAGAAATGTATGCAGAGATGCAAGGGTGGAGGTTTATTGGTGGCACCAGACTGAAGTTTATAAATAATTGGCTTTCATCAACAAGGGCGCTGGCCTCTTTGGCTTTGGATCTGCAAGATGAGGATGAAGATTTTGGACCCCTACCTGTTGACCACATAAACCAAGACGCCAAAGAAAATTTCTACAGCAGAATAAGAAATGCTGGTGGCCACAGGTCGAATCCTGGAGTTGCGGAATTTCCATCAGCCTATGGCACAGTGCTAATGAACGACCTTTCTACCAGTGGTGTTAAAGTTAATTTTTTTTGTTAACGAGTTAAAGTTAAGCCGTTAACCTAACCGAATTAACGTACTCGTTAAAGTTAAGGCTCTTCAGCATTAGTTAACGAGTTAACGTTAAATTAACGCATTAACGAAGTTAAAGTTAGTTTTACTTCTTGATGAACCGAAGACGTTGTGTGATTTCTTGATTTTTGACAGATTTTCAGTCCTCAAGATGCCAAAAAATGACTAACTTTCAAAACCTTTCACAAAAATTGAGGTTTTGTTCATTTTCTTTCACCCAAGACATAAATTCTACATATTGTATGACCCAAATGTCGATAAAATATGCTTACACAGATGACCAAAGTAAACGTTAACGGCGTTAAGAAGTTAACATTCCTACTTAACTTAACTCGTTAACGTTAAGACATTCTGACTACTTTAACGAGTTAACGTTAATTCGTTAATTAACGTTAACGGCGTTAAGTAACTTCGTTAATCGTTAAATTAACTTTAACAGCACTGCTTTCTACTACAGTCAAGGGAAAAAATTGTAGGGACGATAATGCTCTAAATCTGATCCATCTGACTACACTTATGAAAGCGGCCGAGGAAATGGAAGAAGGAGGAGGACAAGATGTGGCCGAAGATATATTTGAAGGCTTACCTGTTGAGCAAGATGTGGAAGTTGATGGCGAGCCAGAAGAAGAGGACCCGGATGAGCTGGAGGATTCTGACGAAGATGAGCAGCCACAGCCTTCTGTACCACTGGCCTCTGATGCAGACTTCTTGGCACGGATGCAGCAGAAAATGGCCTCAGCTGCCAGTGCTAAGGTTGCTGCACCCATGGTGGAAGCATTCCTGAAAAAAACAAAGTGTGATGAGTGCAAGCTGCTACTTCAATCAGAATGCCAATTTCCGCTGCACATTCTGCATACTTACACTTCATCTTCATCATCGCAAACTGAAGCTCTCCTTCCATCACAATATATAACTAATAGGGTAAAGGAAGTTCATGCATTAACGCAAGTGCACATGCCAGGAATGTGTCACCTGCCCAACGTACTTCAGAATTTTGTTGGGCGGCTCCAGTCTGAAAGCAGAATTATTCGGAATTTTAAACTATGCTCTGATCATCAAGTTCATGTCCCCTCTCTATTAAAGAAGATTTCCACTGGGGCACTCAATGATTTTGTTTTGGCCCTCAATCAAGACTATAAAGAGAAAAAAAAGAAGAGGAGAGAGACAAAAAGTCAAAAACTGAAACATGTTTCACATATGTGAAAATGGATTGGAATTGGTCATTTTGAATTGAATTGGTTATTTATATTGAGTAATAAATGCCTGGTTTTTGCTTACCTGTACACAACATCTTGTAAACAATTATTCACGCCAATGCCGCGAAATTTTCCCGGCCACTCTTCATTTGACCAAAAACTAACCTTCCGGCGTACCCACTTTTAACCACATGCCATCAAATCACCGCTCCAACACTTAATTCAACTGTAATTTCCTCAAATTGTGTTGAAACTAACCCTGTCCAAACCATAACATCAGCTCTGTGTTCGCATGGCTGCACACACCCCACCATCAAATTTTTAACATTTCATTTGATTCTTTGATCACAATAAAAGCTCATAACACATTGGCATCCCATTTGATATAGAAATTGGATTACGTAAATGAGTTCACTTGAAATAAAAATGAAATAGGTCCCTGCAGCCGACGTCAACAATAGTCGCCGTTTTTTTCGCCGCTAGTGTGGCCCTACCCCATCGGGAGTGCTGACGTCATCCAACAATAACACTAGCAACAACAAGCGCTCCTGGGCCTGCCATTGAAGATACCCCCCTCTGCTTGCGTGCACCCAACCAAATGGCCGACCGCCGACGCCAGCGAGTGGCAACATGGAAATGCGTTTTTCTCGACTTCAGTGTGACATTTAGTTTAAAACTGGAAGCCAACGGCTAGAGCTGACACTTACTTGGGCAGCAGATGATACATTTGTCGAAAATTATTTACTTTAGTAACATAAATAGGAAATACTTGTTGGTGAACGCACACGGCGCTCCAAGCGCCACCTAGCGGCAGGTCCGTGAAACCTGACGGCAGCCACGTTGGGTCACCGCGGTGCAGCTCGACCTGCGCCAGGCAATTTTCACCCAAACTGGCGCAGGTAGACCTGGACCGCCCGGCGCAGCTTCACCTGGGACAACCGGTGCAGCTTGACCTGCTCTATGGTGCAGGCGACCTGGCAGAATAATCCGTAAAGCCCTGGCGGGTTTGCGCGGGGACCCGTAAAACCTACAATTCTCAGTGAGGAAGTATGCACTCGCGTATTATAGTCGCGCCATTCTATTCGTAATACTTTGCCTAATAGTTTCCACGTTCGAGTGGCTTCAATCGCATGGCTGTTGGCTCGCCCAAAGTCGGAGGCCGCTCTTCGATGAATTTATGGGGAGAGTCTGGCCATGAGTGGAACGACTTTCGTGTGTGCGCAAAACTATTTATCGGTGCCAATCTTGGCAGGCATGAATGGGAGGCGTCCGCGCGTGCGGCCCGAAAACAAACCACAATTCCCACTGCCCTGCGACTCGCCGGTGACGCGCTCACAATGTTGAACAATGTGGTGCAGAGATCCCGAGCAGAGTTTAGTGAGCAAGAAGGAACTTGACAGTGAGGTGGTTGCTTGTGGATCCACAAGCCAAAACTTAGGCTGCTCTGCTGGTCTTGTGGAGCCACAAGCAAAAGTTGCCTGTTTGATGGCAGGATGAAAGTAAGGTACGATGAGAGATGGGCAAGGGCGTGATAGCCACGAGGATGCCCCAGCGAAGAACTGCCAGAGTGCACTTTTGTTTAACGAGTGTGATGTCATAACAGGATGTGAATTTGGTCGCGTATCGTCACATATGGTATCACATTCGTTTGAATGCTGATGCACGTTCAAAAGAATGTAACACTCTAGGAAGCAGGTCGTTTCTCGTTGAGACCAATGATCCAGGAAGCGGAAGAAGGAAATCATTCGACTTATCTCCATATTTATTTTTCATTTTACAATTGTGCCTTAGAATGGTTTGCATCATTGCACACCAAATTATTTGACTCAATTCCTAGCAGTTAAGGAGAATATCCACTTCGAAGAAAGATGCAACTTACCTAGACCCCTTACTCTCAATTTTGCGAAAAATGGAAACAACTCAACCAAATTCAGCATGACTCCGTTGAAGATATTGTTTACAGGAGGTAACTTAACTTGTGTTTTTATGCATCGATCAAAAGAGTCAAGTTAACCTAATTCCGTCATTTTAAAAACTTAAACAAAAAAAGGAGCTAAGTCAAAAAAAAAATCACCAGAGGCACTAACACTCTATAGTTCCCACTTGACCAGGTCCTTTTTTTACAACGTTTCATTTTTAACCAAAGTCACCCGATGCACTTTTTGCCGTAGTATTCTCCGCTCATTTCAGATTCCCACATTGTCTGTTGGATGAACGTGTCTGCTGTCATGTGGTCGCCGCTTGTTTCCATCGCAGTCTGGGTGACGTTGCTTCCACTGCTGGCCTTTCACTTCGTTCTCAGCAAACGAATAAACTCTTTTGCTGTAAGTCACGTATTCGCCAGTGCAGTATAATATACTGAAAAAAAAAATACGATTTCAAGAAATCCTAGGGGTCACGAGGTCAGTTTGGTTATTTTGAGAGTGAGGAGAGGGTGGTTACCAAGGGCAGTGTCGCCACTGCCATTTGGTAGCCACCCTCCTCTCCCTGCCACACTCCTCAGTCCTACAAAATAACCAAATGGTCGGTGTTCCACCCCTCAAAATTAAACCTCGATAGATAAAAGAAATCAAAAAGCTGAAAAAAAAACAACAACAAGGAGCAAAGAACATCGAAACAGTTATACCAATTTAAATTGATATTAAAGAAGTCAGACTCGTTCTTTACCATGGTTCACATAAATGTCCTTCTGGTGTATTGGTTGAGGTATAAAATGATAACGAATAGTCATATCGATTGAAAGTTAAATGGAAAGTTAAATGGTTTTTAAAACGGGCCGAAAAGGAAATTAGAACAGGGGGGAATTCAAAAAGTTCAAACTGCGCATGCACCACATTGCAATTGGTCAATAAAACCCTGGTTCTAGAGACGCCTTTTCAAAACAACCCAAACGTCTTCCCTTGAACAACAAAACAGGGGTTGTTTTGATGCCGGTCTTCAGGTTTTCGCCTTTTTTCAGAACCACAGACGCCGAGCTATAATTTCTTCTAAAGCAATATTGTCTTCCCAAGCACAGCCCAGTACACACTCCCACACAACAACTACGTAGTTTTAAAGTGCATAGCTTTTGCTCTAAATTAAGCACGCGCGTCAAACTCACGAGTTCATGCGTAACAGCCTACTCTCCTGCTTAGTTCCGCACAAATTCGTGCATTTTAAAACGCATGCACAATGTTGTGCAAAGCTTTTTATGCACACAGAACATAAATTCCATAGTAATTTAGTGTGTGGCTATCAGAATTCTATCCTGTGTCCATTTCAAATGATAAGTCATGAACAAAAGAATTTACAAAAGAATGTATTTCATTACACAGGCTCCTTTTCTGAGTACCTCTGCAATTGACAGCAGGATGCGCTGGCCCTATTCCACAAGATGGAGGTTTCCGATAGTTACAAACGTGTTTTTCTCATTTTTCGTGGTCCGCTAATTACTTTTGCAATTTTAATTTTTTTGTACATATTTTGATGTTTTAAACGGAAAACATTGGCTCATACCAAACAAGGTAGGTTTACGCCAGACCACGTCTTGTCGTAACAGGCTTCGCGATGTCTCGCTGCCTGTTCCTCCAATCCGCGCCTGGCGTACCTACCTCGGCCTCCTGCGCTAGCCTGCCTTCGGCATGCTTGTCCGCCGACGGTTACTTCTAATTTGTTGCATGCCCCCTTCATTCTAGAAAGAGTTGCTTCATCTGCAAATTACACGATCTTGACCCTTGTAACTTTTTAACTTATCGGGGCTGGGGGGCCCCGCCCCCCAGACCCCCCTTCATCAAGACAGGAGAGATCTGCCTGGAAAAAAACTCGATTTTTTGCCGTTTTTTAGGTGTTTTTCGGCTATAAAAACTGAACCAGTTGAGCTAAGACAGTGAAAATTCGCGAGTGCCGAGCCAAGGACATACCTAATGACCCTGCAAAATCTCAGGCCGATCGGCCGAGCCGTTCAGGAGGAGTAGTGCACACACACACACACACACACACACACAGACAAAACTTTTCAGCCGCACTGGAGTAACAGGCTTCGCTATCGCTCAGCCAATAATTCTTTCCTGTTTTTGTCGTTTAGTTTACGCTGGCATGGACATCCATTTCACTTTTTCAGGGACCATACATTGCTTTTGCCCACTCATGGGAATCCTGTCCATCTGACAAGACCCTGGAACTACTTTTCCGTCCGAGCCATTTCAGCCGAAGTCGGCCATATGACCTACAAACAATTTCGGGAAACATTTCGTTTAAGGGAGAAATTACCGACAATACTTTGGTAAGATGAGAGACAGTTCGTACACTGCAAGAAAAAGCCACTACAAAAAATCCTAATTTCTGGATTTTTTTAACGGGGATTTATTGCACTATTTCAAAGTACAACAATTATACAATGTAATGGAACCGTCGTGACGAGTGCTGGGCAGCCCAGGCCTCGTTGTGATTCGAACAATTTTCTTTGTACTTTATGTAATCCCTTTTGTACTTTTATTGTACAGTTTTTGTTGTACTTTCGTTGTACCATTCACACTTTTCCTTGCAGTGTGCTCTACTCAACATATGGGGTCATGTGTTTTTTTTTTTTTTGGTCGATGTAACTTGAAACTATTTGGCGCTAACTGTTGTGCTTTACAGACAGAAGCTGATCTTGCTATATGGTCGAACAACCAATGGAAAGAAAATGCTTTCATCTTTCGTATCCCAAGGACCGGGTGCTCTGTAATCCGCGACGATATTCCTGACTTTTTCCGCATTCTAACAAAATATAATGGAGCCAGGAAGGACCCATGTGTCGTACCAGCGGTATGTGTTCCTCGTTCCCCGCCCTCCTGTAAGAACCCAGAGGGAATTGTTCGTGTTCACTCCCAACTACAGTGTCCTAAAAGGCTAAGTCAGCTTCAATTTTTTGCCATGCATGGCACCCAACCTAACCATGGTTCTCTGTTATCAAAACACAACATTTTCCATAGCCTTTTATCAATATTCTCCATAGAACGCACCAATTGATGCACAACATCGCTCACTTTCCCGCTAGTTGTGCACGAATTCGTGCATTTCATAACGCACGCACAGTTTTGTGCGGAGCTTTCGGAAAGTTGCCAGAATTGTGGGTCCTTTTGGCTCCCAAGTAATGATAAAGAAAAATATCTTGTTTCACTGGTAGCGAACGAATGTGACGTCATATTCGTTGCAGTGTGAATTTCGTCACTTTCATTTGAATATGACTCAATATTCGCTTGAACGTGACTCGGCCCTTCAAGTAGGGTTTCACATTCGTTTGAAAGTAGACCGTCAATCAAACGAATGTGTCATCTATTTTAACGAACGTGACAAAATTCACATTCGAACGAATATGACGTCACATTCGTTGGCAACCAGTGTTTAAGAAGGCACACCAGTGAAAATGCAGAGGTTTCGAAAAACGATCATTCTGAAAAAAGCAACCTATGTATCCGATTGATGTTTTATTCTTGGCTCAAATTATATCATATCAAAGAAAAATCGGTTCGGGAGGGCGCCAGTGCACTTCATATTTCTGCGACCTTGCTTCACTCCTGCCACGATTCCGCCTCTTCGGATTGAGCCTCGAGCACGGGATTTGAAAATTTCTCACTAGGACACATGTGGCTATGGTCTGAACCACGAGCATGCAAAAAGAATGATTTTGAATTTGTTTTTTCAAAAGTCAAAAATAGAAACAAATTTTTTGACCACTTTTTCACGCTTTCATGGCTGCTGCTCACGTCCTATCTATGGGATGGCCATTTCCGAGGTTCAGACCATAGCCGCAAGTTTAAGGAACAATTTGCCGAAACCCGCATTTTATTATTTCACTTTTGGCGCCCGTGAGATTGGCTCAAAGGTACAAAATGGTGTTTTGAGAAAACGACCTTTAAGGAAAAACATAGATTTAACGTGTTTTTTTTTCGGATTATAAATTTGCCTTTTGACGTATTTTAGCTCGGTTTGCGCCAAAATGTTCGTTTTCTTAGCTTCGATTTAAAAAGTCACAGAACAAACTCATTGATCTTAAAGCGCTCAACCTTACCGCCAACTATAAGGGGAAAAGATGCAATTTAAATCAAGTCAAAATCAACTTGTGTTCCCGACCTAAAGTATTTTGAATTTCAAGGTCGGGTTTCTTGCATTCGACTTGACATGAAAAGTAGGCAAAAACGATTAATGAAACAAGGTAGGTTTACGCCAGACCGCGTCTTGTCGTAACAGGCTTCGCGATGTCTCGCTGCCTGTTCCTCCAATCCGCGCCTGGCGTACCTACCTTGGCCTGCGGCGCTAGCCTGCCTTCGGCAGGCAATGGCTTGTCCATCGTCGGTTACTTCTAACTTGATGCAGGCTGGGGGGCTCCGCCCCCCAGACCCCCCTTCATTCTAGATCCCTTGTAACTTTTTAACTTGTCGGGGCTGGGGGGCTCCGTCCCCCAGACCCCCCTTCTTCAAGACAGAAGTGATCTGCCTGCAGAAAACTCGATTTTTCGCCGTTTTTTAGGTGTTTTTCGGCTATAAAAACTGAACCAGTTGAGCTAGGATAGTGAAATTTCGCGTGTGCCGAGCCAAGGACATGCCCAAAAAGTGTGCAAAATCTCACCGAGATCGGCCGAGCCGTTCAGGAGGAGTAGTGCGGACACACACACAGACGGACAGACAGACAGACAGACAGGAAAAACTTTTCAACCCCAATGGAGTAACAGGCTTCGCTATCGCTCAGCCAAAAAATTACAAAAAATTAGACGATTTTTACTGGTGTACCCCCTTAAATTCTTTCAACTATTACTCCTGGTCATTCTATACGCGTTTCCGAAGTTGGCCGGGATTTTCTCACACTTTGATTTCTCCCCTATACTTTGATATGGGAAGATTCCCATCAACAAGGGAAGTTTCCGAAAATGCGCATGGCATGGGATAACTTAAGTTACATCGTTTACGAAAATAAAAACTACCCCTTCCCGGTAGCGAATCGAACTAGCGTCAAGCTCAAAGTTTCGGGGTACGAAAGACGCAGAATGGCCCGATAGCCCGAAATCGTTAGGACAGTCAGTCACTGATGGCACGAAATTATCGATCTGGCCCGATGACGCTTTTTGGCCCGCCCTTCTATTCAAAAAATAGGGGGGGGGGGCTATGCATTTGCCTTTGTGTCTGTGTGTTGTTGTCGTTGTTGTCGTTGTTGTTGGCGTCTGTGTACAAGGAAGGAGTTGAGCTAGAGTAACCAGATTTGGAGGGTACTTCAGGAGTACCGTCCAAACAAATAATCCGGTGGTGCAAATCCCGTCCGGGTCACACAAGGGCTGCTGCAGGTTCATCATGGTTTACATGAGCGGGAGGGGGATTTCCGCCATTATTGGTGGTAGAAGGGCACATAGGGGTATTTTTGGAATCGGGGCGACGAGACAAGACGAATGCACTGCAAGAAAAAGTGTGAAAAGTACAACAAATGTACAACAAAAACTGTACAATAAAAGTACAACAGGGATTGTAGAAAGTACAACGAGAATTGTACAAACCACAACGACGCCTGCTCTGCCCATCACTCGTCATGCCGGTTTCATTGTACTTTGTACAACAATTGTTGTACTTCGAAAGTACAATAAAAACCTGATAAAAAATTTGCCAGAAATTTGTGTACTTTTGTTGTGGTTATTTCCTGCAGTGGGACCTGGTCCCGACCCCATCGGCCGCTTTTACAAGTTGGCCAGATCAGGATCTTCAAAAAAGGGGGTCGACCGACTAAAAAATTTTATTGCAGGTTTCGATTGGTCTCAGCAAGACCTTTTCAACGAGGGGTCGGAAAGGGGGTCCAGGAGCCCGCCTTCATGAGTTATGGGAAAAAGTGCGACCAATGCGACGGACTCGTTTTGCGCTCCTGCTTTGCCTCTATTGCAAGGAGTTGCAGTAGCATGTCAAATATGGGTATTTTCGGAATGAGGGCTAAGAGACAAATGAAATGGGCATATTCTAAGGACAGTTGGAGTAAAAAGTTTAAGGACTTTTGCATATTGTGAATAGAAGGGCGGGCCTAAGTCACGATGGTACATCGATAACTTTGCTTTACCCGCTCACGGGGTGTGTGATGCGAGCGGGCCGAAGGCCCGGGCCTTCGACTGGCCAAGTTGGGTCTGATGCGAGGGCCGAAGGCCCGAGGAAAGGCCGCCGGCAGGCCAAGCTGGGCCGGCCCCCTGTCGAACCGAGTTGCCGGCGCAGCGAAGCGGAGCTGGCAACTCGGTTCGACGGAAGGGCGGGCCCTAGCTTGTTTCAACTTCGGAGGGAGGTAATGCCAGAACCAGTCTTCCAATCGAGAAACGGCACCTACACACTAAATGTCATGGGACATTTTTTGTCCCACGGTTTATGCAATTTTAAGCACATCCGGTGGTGATGCAATTTTGTGTCCGCCAGGCGGGACAAATTGTCTAGTGAAAGTACAAGTTGCAGCTGGCGCCGGACAAAATGTGTCACCAGACGGGAACAAAATTGTATCAGCGTCGGATGTGCTTAAAATTGCATAAACCGTGGGACAAAAAAAGTCCCATGACATTTAGTGTGTACCACCTGAAAGAGGAAGTCATTTTGCGTCTTTTGAGCCATGACCCAATTCCCTACCAAACCTTTGGCGCTGAGGAGTGTTCGAAAATTAACAAATGCATAAACAGGGGGTGGCAACGGCCTAGGGAGAGCGTGATGCGATGCTCGCGCCGTCAGTGCAGAGGTTGCGCACTTGTTCGAGATTATGAAAACTAGACTGTGTTTTTCAAAACACTTTGCACCGATAGAAAGGGCTTGAAATTTAGGGTGCATTAGGCTAATTGCCCTTCTCGAAACTCCTCCCTTACCTAATACAAGGTAGGTTTACGCCAGACCGCGTCTTGTCGTAACAGGCTTCGCGATATCTCGCGGCCTGTTCCTCCAATCCGCGCCTGGCGTACCTACCTTGGCCTGCGACGCTAGCCTGCCTTGGCTAGCGGCAATGGCTTGTCAATCGTCGGTTACTTCTTACTTGTTGCATACTGGGGGGCTCTGCCCCCCAGACCCTCTTTCATTCTAGATAGAGTTGCTGCATCTATAGATAACACGAACTTGACCCTTGTAGCTTTTTAACTTGTCGAGGCTGGGGGGCTCGGCCCCCCAGACACTCTACCAAAAATGTCCTGTAAATGCCGTTAATTTATTACCAGTTTTCACTGTAGGTCAATTCACAGCGTTTACTGTGATCTGCTCACGGGATTCACTGTGATCTTGTTCGCGGTGTTCACTGTGATCTGGTCCCCAGTAAACACTGTGAGTTTTACGCCGCTAAGCACCGAAGTACTGCAAATCAGGCTCGAATTCACGGCGTTTACTGTGGCCAGATCACAGTGGACACTGTAACCGAGATCACAGTGAACGCCGTGAGCAAGTTCACAGCAAACGCCGTGAATTGCATAACAGCAAACATTGGTAATAAATTAACGGCGTTGACAGGACATTTTTTGTAGAGTGGACCCCCCTTCCTTCAAGACAGAAGTGATCTGCCAGCAGAAAACTCGATTTTTCGCCGGTTATCAGGTGTTTTTCGGCTATAAAAGCTGAACCACGTGGGCTAGGATAGTGAAATTTCGCGAGTGCCGAGCCAAGAACATGCCTAATAAGCCTGCAAAATCTCAGCCAGATCGGCCGAGCCGTTCAGGAGTAGTAGTGTACACACACACACAGACAGACAGACAGAAAAAACTTTTCAACCGCACTGGAGGCTTCGCTATCGCTCAGGCAATTAAGGTGCAGTAAAAACACCAAAAAACACAAAAATCATAAAATTTAGGAATAAACTCGAATGCGCCATGTTGGTGTAAATGATTTTGCCCTTGTGTTCCGTTGAATTGGAAGTATCGGGCAGTCTACTAGGCCTAATGCACCCCAAATTTTGTGCTCTTTCGATCTGTGCAAAGCGTTTTGCAATCAACTGCCTAGATCTCACAATCGAAGCAAAATAAGTATCCCCTGCACCTTACTCGCGCATGGCTTCACGCGCCTCCTAGGCCGTTGCCGCCCCCTGGCATAAAATTGCCCAATTCTGTGACACGGTGAACATTTTCCCCTCCACCAAGGCAAGAAGTTTGCGGCACCGCACAGCATTCGCGGCTGTAGAGTTCAAAGTCAATATCTTAAAGAATAAAACGCGGGTTACAACTTCGCTCTCGGGCTTATAGTTTCGACGAAATCGGCGCCTGAACAGGAATGTTTTGGGAAAAGACAGCACAGAAGTTACATTTTGGCCGGTTTTTTCGCACTGAGAAAACCTTACAAACTATTTTGGGCCTTACAAAACAAAGTAGTTTGGAACAAAATTTTGAGCATACATAAGCTTACAAAGAAAATACTTCGTAATTTGCGAACTATTTCTTCGTATAACAAAGTATATTAGTTTGTTATATGTATGCTCAAATTACTTGGTAAGATTTTAAGAGTGTGCATTTTTAAAATTGGAAACGCGTGACTTGAGTTCTCGATTAGTGTGTGGGATACGGGAGATTAAGCTGTGTGCAAGGAATCAAACCGCAAGTCGTTACGTCGATAAAGGGAAAAATGGCTCAAAGGCACAAAGAGACCCACAATTTTGATAATCTCACTTCTGCACGAAAAATTACTCAGTAATTGTGTGTGAGCTGAAGCTGAAACTTTGCGGAACAAGTTATACTCACAATTCAAGACTTGGTGCTCAAGAAAAGTTAAATAGCCGTTATTTTCACTTAAGAGTGGTCTTGAGCATAGTTGGACTACTACTCCCATTTCGTTTCCAGGCACACAGCGTTTTAAAGAATGAACCGGTGAATTGGACATTTCCTCACTTCCCAATCATGCCATACGGGCGTTACCGATTTCAGTATCGAGCGCGGAAAACTCGTGAAGGCCCCGCTATTCTGTGCGTGTCGGTCGACTGTGAGGTCATCCCGAAGCCATGATGGTCAGGATCCCGGTCACCATCTTACGCCGCCATGAGACGAAGAAAACCAACACTGGGCAAACCAGCCCTCAAAACTAGCCAAAAGCCTCAATTATCAAAATTGACCGAGAAACGTAAGGGGCAATCATGAATAAAGTACGATGAATGTTTTGTGGTTGTGATGACATTTCCCCTTTCGAAAGGGGGATTTTGGCTAACAAACACTGGGCAAACTAGCCCTCTAAACTATAAAGCCAAAAGTCTCAATTATCACTAGGGGTACGCGCCGTTTTGTGTGGGCGCGTGGTGTGGCTGAGCGATGCGAATTTGTGCACTTCGGACTGCAGCTTGTGGGCTCATATTGAGTGAAATGTAGGTCGGGTATAAATGGGAGTGATTTTGTTATCAGCAAACAAAAACCTGTGGGATCAACGTCAAACTCGATTCCAAAATTTGGTCCAAAAGGCCTTCAATTATCAAAATTGGAAAAGTCAAGTTCAGCGCCCCAATCATAAAAATAAAGTACTTTTTGAAAATTTTGGGTCCGTTTTGATAAAAAATTTCTGGTCGAAAGGGGGTTTTTGGCAACAAACACGTGGGCAAACTAGCTCTTCAAAATTTTGGCCAAATTTGGTCAATTAAAAAACTAGGGGTACGGCCGTTTTTTTGAGTCGCTATTGACTGGGGAAATGCAATATAACATTTGGGCCCTGCAAATTGTCCGGCCTCATTTGAGTGAAATGTAGGTCTGGGTATAAATGGAAGTGTTTTTTTAATCAGCACTCAAAAACTTGGAATCAATAAATCGATTGCAAAATATCGATATAAAAATTGGTCCAAATTTCGGTAAATGAATGAGTTTTGGGGAAATTTTGGGAAATCACTCTTTGTCGTCACCATCCCGCACCAAAAACTTCAGGAAAAAATTTTTAAAAAACTTTCTTTGAAAATTTTGGTCCAAACTGACTAATTTATAAAAATTTTTATAAGTCTGGAGCGGAAGGAGGGAATATTGTTATCCCCAAATTGTTTGATAATATCAAAGTCAATTCAAAAATTTTGGTTCCAAATTTGGAAAATCAAAGGAAAAAGGGTATCTGGAACTAATTTTGAAGTTATTTTTGGGAGATAGCTAAATCAAACAACCTGAAAAGGAAAAATATAAACTCGCCCTTGTAATTTTGGTCAGGGAAAAAGACCTAATTTAATTTTGAAAATTTAAGTTGGAGTAAAAGGAAGGGGTCCAAATACACCGAAAAACTCCAAGTAATATGAGTTCCCGATTGAATTGTCTCAAATTGACAATATGGTTAAAAATGGGTCTCGGGTTTCCCTTTCAACGGATCACCCTGATGTCGCAGAAATCCCTAATGCCACCCCTAAGGGTTTTCCTTGTCCGAAAATTTACTTTCCCTGTTGAATTCTTAATTGCTACTTCATTGTTTGTTTTACTTTCGCAAACATTTTTTTCTTCAAACAAGGGAAAATTGAGTAAATTTCTTCGTTATATTTGAGAAGCCTTTTGTCATTCTTTCATTTAAAACCAGTGAAATAAACAATACAGAATGGAATATGTAATCATAGTTTTCATTAAGTGACTCAGTTTACGGCAGGCTGATCTGAAGCATTTGACGGAGAACAAGTTGTGTAAAATTCAGTGAATCGTCTCATGAAGTCAAATGCAGAGGCCACTTGTTGCTCAATACGCCAACTTATTTACCTTATTCATGCCTCGTGATATTTTATCTTTAGAGTAAAAGAATACAGTGTAGCATTAACATTGGGCTTACATTAAGAAAGCCAGCTTTTAAATCATTACCAATACTTGGTTCCAGCTGTTGGACACAAGCTTTGGTGAAGTTAAAGGAATCGTCCCATTAAAAGCAATTACCAAGTCACCCACCGCTCAAAACCTGAATCGTCTCATTGAACCCAATATCAGTTCAAAATCTGTTAGCACTAAATATATGGATTATTTATTGCACAAAATACATCTATTTATGGATTCTTTTAATCAATAGATGTAAGTACTAGAATATTTATGTTAGCTTGCAGCATTGCAATAGAGTGTCATTTCCCCGAGACAACCAAAACAATTAACATGTCTTCTAATTTCAACAGAAGTTATTCATGCATTTACCTGATTTTATTTACTATGAAATTTAAAAATTAGGATAGTATCAGAGAGAATAAAATCAGTAGATGCACACAAAGGCAAAGAAAACATTCTATTTACAATCCACAACTACACTGCACTGACCTGTTCTCCTGTGACGGGGGGAACGAAACACGTAAACCATTCTCACATTTAGTTTCTATATTTTCCTCTGTTGACACCCCGGAAGGGTTTCAATCATTCTAGAATGTTAAAAAACTATCTCAGTACCTATTTGAGAACCCCTTTGCTCTTTAGTTTGTTTATTTGCATAAGTGCCGTCCCGTCTTGCAGACGGCTTGCAAGCGCGGCAGCCGGTATGAGAAATTGGTCTGCCACACGCTGCTACCAACCTAAACACGCCAATTACCTAGTTCAAAATGATGTTTTGAATATTTCAAACGATGATAATTGTTAATCTAAGATAAACTCCCCCTGTAGGATGTTTAGGAGACATCAGGTGTGAAATTTGGATACTATTCGTTCAGTAGTTGCTGAGAAACGTGAGTGATTACATACAGACAGACAGACAGACAGACAGACGCACGACCAGTCACTTTTCGGAGCGCCCAAACACGGCAAGGGCTTCGCTATCGCTCAGCCAAAAAATTGTTTGTCGGCCGAGTAACGTAAGGGGCAATCATGAATAAAGTACGATGTATGTTATGTGGTTTTGATGACATTTCCCCTTTCGAAAAGGGAGATTTTGGATCCTAATGCGGTATACAGTTCCTACCAACTAGCCTCATAGACTAATTTTATTGTTTGTTCGGTAAGAGACGTGTTATGACAGGACGGTTCTACATGGAATCCCAGGCAATTTTTTGTGTCATCTTTTGTTAAGTCTGAGAATTGAAATACAGAGGACATCGCGTAGAATCCAACACGCTTAAGAAGACTTGATTGTACCAGCTTCTGAAGGTATTTTGAACCGTTTTCCTTTAGTCTTAAGCAATCTCGACCTTCAAGCATCTTTACTGTTAGTAGAAAAACTGATTTTATTATCCGTTGTCAAGTCAATAGATCAATAGGTCATTTCAGCGAGGTCATTTCAGCGAGGTCATTTCAGCGAGGTCATTTCAGCGAGGTCATTCCAAAGCCGTGATGGTGAGGATCCTCGTCACCATCGCGCCGTCAAAACTTGTAAAGCAGCCAACAGCAGCCAACCTTTCCCTCAGATACAGCGAAGGCCTCTATTCTCAAGATTACTTCCCGGTCTGGTGACGTGAGATAATGATATTTTGACAGTTATAGATTTCCACATAGTAGATTAAATTTGAATTCATGAGAGCGGGCAGAATTGATTTCATGAAGTATTCCTTATTTTACCTTTGGTTATTCATTTTAAAAATTTTTAAAAAAAATTGAAAAAATGAGCTTTTTTTTCATTTGCGTACAAAATTAAAATTGAGTATATAATGGGTATTTACCGTTATCTAATTTAACTCTCCCCCCTTTTCTTCCGCCTCTACAACATGAATTGTTCACCATTTTAACAGAAGAAACATAGACTCGCACACACGGTTGATTGTGGTCTTGCCTGTCAAGTGAAGTTCAGTTAACTCATGTGTGCTCTGGCCCTTAGTGGTAATGGAAGGTAGGCAATCCAACGCACGCACATGCGCACTCTGGCCTGCGGGTTGCCTATACGAGCTTCACAGGCGCTCCTGGCGGGTGGTTTTCCTTCGCACGCCAGGCGGGGAAGTCGATGTTGACCACAACAGACGGCTGCGCAGCGCAGGCAAGAACCCACACCACCACCACCACCACCTCAAATACACGATTTTGGTGATTTTTCAAAATTTGTTTTTGCGATTTCTCAGATCTTATGGGCGGGCCGACCAAACCCTTTTAGTGTTTTGTTCCTTAATGTTAGGAGATCATTTGGTAAAAGTTAGGTCGAAATCGAAGATGAGCTATTTTGGGAATAGCAATTTTTCGAAAAAATATGACGAAAAATGAAAATTTTGGCATCAAAACTTCACCTAATCGTCTCGAAACCGTTTTCATCGTGTTCCCCAGCTCTTTTTACGTAAAAATACACTATGGAAAAAAATCCAAAACAAATCAGCCAAAAAAGAGGAAATTAAAGAAAATATCATGATTTTGACTAAAGCTAAAACTTCGATATCCTGCCACAGCCAAATGGGGTGAGATTTCGCAAAACACTTTGGCAGGGGGTCTTTTTATGATGACCCCTACCCCCAAGAAAAGTTTCATCAAAATCGGAGGGATGAAATTCCAAGCGTTCGTTGGTTTGGCATGGAATCGCCCAGCAGCGACCCCAGACGCAGGCTCTACCAGAAACACTTGCACTCCACCTGCCAGGCGCCCAGAGACACCTCCCTGGCCTCCTACCACCTGGGCCCACCCCAACAAGAAGACCACCGGCCCCCATCAACCGGTAACACCTTTGCAGAACGCCGTAACACCCCCGGCAACCCCCGTCACAGGAAGCGCTGGCACGCAGCCAGCAACTTGCCCAGCCGCCGACGTAAGGAGAACCCGCAAGCTCTCCACCCCAAGCTCCACGCCAGCAACACCAGCAAAGGACACCCCTCCGACTCCAGCGCTCCTCAAGGAAGGACTTTCCAAAATGATCAACTGCTTCAAGCAAACACTCCCAACTGACCACGTCATTGATCCCCTGGAATACCTCAACAGCATCACTGAAATGATGCAAGCACTCTGCAGCAAGGACTCACGCAGGATCCTCGCCGCCACAGAAGACCTCGCCAAGCTGTTCTAGCAACGACCGCAGTGGCACTTGCAGCCGCAGTGCAGCTGCACCGCCAACACTGCTGACACAACAGACGACAACTGGGCCATCCCTCGCCCTACCTCCATCATTGCAACACGGCCAGCCCGCCGACCAACTGTCAACAAACTGCTGGCCCACCACCGAGTCAGCAGTAACACAACATCGCCCAACGTGCCTCGTGACG